GATTTTGACACGATTGTCCCCCAGTTCATAGAAATGGACGACGGTGCCTCACGTGATGCCTTCCTGTCATCTGTGCTACGGGCGGTCCGCGAGGCGTGTACGCAACACTTGGACTTCAAGGCCCGGGTCTGCACCACGGGCTTCCTGTGTGTCGACCTGGACGGGGAAAGGCAAAATCATTTCGTCCTCAACGAAGTCTTTCGCAAGGTCAAGGAGGACAGCAGTAACAGCTTCTGTCTAAAGGTAAGTTTATCTTACCATCAACAAGGGTGCATTTTGTGACAATGTGTTTTCCTAAATGTGTTCCCCTATCTGTTTGGTTTCTTTCTGGGGTGAGGGATGAGGGTATTTGTATGTTCCAGTACTTAGCTTTACAGATTTCACAGGCACACATTGTCAGAAGAAAGACACAAAGAGAGAGAGAGAGAGAGAGAGAGAGAGAGGGAGAGGGAGAGGGAGAGGGAGAGGGAGAGAGAGAGAGAGAGAGAGAGAGAGAGAGAGAGAGAGAGAGAGAGAGAGAGAACAAGACAGTGAAACTTGTTTATAACATTAACCATGAAAATCATTCTCACGGTTGACTTCACCTTTTGTCGACAGACTATCGACACCAAATCTTCAAAAACTCAAAACCTTGCCCGACCTGCCTACAAAGACTACCGGGAGAGCCACAGCTGCACTCCAGTGCGGAAGGCATTCAGCTCACGCTCCCCGAGAGGGAGTGGCTCTGGCAGGTACATGTCACGTTCCAGCGCCATGCAGCCCTCTGAAATAAAAAAGTCGAGCATCTGCCTCAAACCGACAGCAGGCAGCACAAAACCGTCACAGAATCTGTTCTGGAAATCTCGTCGGCAGAAGGTTAACCGGACTTTCACGATAGAGAGCGATAATGAATCAAAGTACAAAATCAAACCTAGACAGGAGCCTTGCTCTATAGTCTGTGCTACTGCATCACCGAAGAAAGTTGTGCCTTGTCATCGGCCTGCAAATCACAATGTAATCAGGGCAAGCGGCTCAATTCCTGGCTCTGAATGTAATGTTACCGGCGTGTCGAGCAGAGGGAGAAAACATACAGCAAGGCTGTGCCGAGAATCTTCTTCCGAAACAATCAGCCACAGCACGTTCGTCAAAGCTGCAGAGACTTCTAAAACATTTCAATACCCCCCAATAAACAGGTGTCAGGTAAACAACGCAAACCTTTGTTGCCCGTCCTTGAGCGATGGGGAAAATTCAAGTGACACAGAATTGCAACAGATAAATGACCGCTTTGATTTCTTCCAACCACACAACCTGAACGATCCCGACATATCCATCGCCTCCACCAAACCCCCTCACGGTTTTGTCCAGAGCAACTTGGATATTTTTGTACGCTCTCCGAGGGCTCATAAATCTGAGAACTTCGATACGCCACAAGCACGAAACCCATGTGAAACACTCAGCACGCCAAACTTTCTGAAGGAGGAAAACATCTCACAGGCCAACCCACAGGACATTTCTGCTCTCCTCAACAACGTGATCGCTGCGTTGTCACAGACACAGCACAACGACTACAAAGAGGAACGACCTCTGTGTAAACCACCGGCGTCCCCTGTGTCATGTGTGATGGGAGACTACCGAGAGCCCAGTCTGAGGAGCGTCGACTCGTTGCAGAGGGCAAATCTTGAGTACAAATTTGAGGATGACATGACACCGCTGAAAAATCGTGACGTCATGCATCTAATGTACAAGCAACATGGCGGTTCGCCCAAAGGATGCGCCGAGGTCACGGACTCTCCTTCAGTCATCAAAAAGAGTAAGTCAAACTGTATTCTTTCATGATCTTTTCATTTTACTTTTAAAAAAATAAATGACATCATGAAGTTCGACAAAACAGAAAAAATGTTGCATCACGGACAAATCGTTTACACACACACACACACACACACACACACACACACACACACACACACACACACGCACACACACACACACACACACACACACACACACACACACACACTCAAACAAACTTGTTTGTATGCACATGCTGGATAACAGTTCTTCTACTATGACAAAGTACATGTACAATGTACGTGAACAAACTAGCATTGTTAAAACAATGTTGGACATCGCATACACTGTTATTCACGTTAAGTTGTCTTGTTCATTCGAAACATCTTTTTCAATTGAATTTCAGAAGCCAAACTGTTCAAATGGATGAAACTTTTCAAGAAAGGTGAGATTTGTTTTCTGAAAGATACAGTGGCGTACTTCTTCACGTATATATTTACGTTATGTATTCATTTTGAATAACCCCTTACGCTGGTTACTTATTGCCTTTGTTCTCGAGAGATGGTGGGTATGTGTAGAGATGTGGCGGTGGGGGCATATATGTGTATACGTGCATGAGTGTGTGTGTATGTATGTAGGTATGTATGTATGTGTGTGTGTGTGTGTGTGTGTGTGTGTGTGTGTGTGTGTGTGTGTGTGTGTGTGTGAGAGAGAGAGAGAGAGAGAGAGAGAGAGAGAGAGAGAGAGAGAGAGAGAGAGAGAGAGAGAGAGAGTCTGCGTATTGTTACTGTCAGTTTGTTAGTTTGCTCGAAGTGTTTGGCCGACTGGCTGTCTGCCAAAGCGCGTACCTGATGTAACCAGCATTCTCACAAGCTTTCCTCATTGATGTATATGAACTTGATTCTTACAAGAACCCACTACTACTAGCTTTCCTTCGTGCGACTGATATACATGTATGCACGTTTGACTGTGACAAGGCCTTTTCCTGCAGCTACCAAATAAAGTAGAAAGGATGTACTGACCGTATGTAAAGTCACGAGCTGTTAGACGAGCCCGCCGGATGTTTAATCTGTTACTGAAGTAAGCAGTTGGGTGAGCAAACGGCGTCCAGGACGGAGATTTTTGTCGTCCGTTAAATAAGGCGGTAAACACTTTGACTTTGACAAACAGGCAGGGGAAGTGTGAGCACCCATTATTGTCTTGTTCTTTCTGTCTTTGACTCAAACAAACGTGTGATACTCTAATTCCTTGCTACCCTAGACAGCAGCCCTTACAGAACCCGAGAGCCACATGCCGTACCTCTGCCAGCCACAGAATCTCACACAAGCGTGGCCAGTTGGTCAGTCAGCAAACACTTCAAAAGTCCCGTCTTCAAAAAGAGAAGAGTTAGCCACTTCTAATAGATGGAACAAGAAAGCTTCACTTTCCTGGGAGGTTTCCCACAAGACAGACTCTGAGCACAGGCTGCGCGTGTACTGCCCGCTCGCTGTGTTGATTTCACAATGGATCAAACATGTCAAAAGTAGCCAACTGTTTCATCAAAGTCGAGACATCTTTTTACGGTATTTCTTTTTGATTGTTGCATCCTTAAACGTAAATGAATTACACTGAAAAAGAAAATAAAACTAGTATAATACATTGTGCGACCTATTCAGTGCCCTTATATCGTTTTGTTCCACATTTGCTGCTTAAGACTGCTGCATAATAAATGATAATATTATTATGATTATGAATTATTCTTTTGACTTGACGCAGATACCTAAGTTGGGTGCAGAGTTAGAGTCAAGGAAGATATAATATATCTATATAAGACATGGTCATGGCTGAATGCTTCCGTCCCCTGACATGTCCAAATCAATGTGAGTTTGCTAGAGTTCCCATTCAAAAATCCCCTTCGGAAAAAGAACGTCTTCGAAAGTCGCAGTTGCCTTTTGACCTCGCAACACGAAAAGGGCTGCTTTAGAAAAGAAACGGTCTTAATTTCAGTAATCAAAAACATTATATTTGAATCTTTGAACAGTGGAGATTATGTACCCCGCACTCTCCAAGAAAGAAAATAAGTAAATTTCAGTAGCTTCTTCCCCTTAAGTGAAGTGAAATAATTATCATCGACAACAACACTTTGAGACAACTCGTATTTATTCGCACCAAACTACATTTAATGAAACATAGCACTGGTTTAGTATAACTTGATAAAAGGTGAAGAAGAAAATTTGTTAAAAAATACAGAAAAGCGTATAGGAAGACAAAACACGTTAGAACCAACATTGGAGCATAATTTGTAAAAGAAACGCTCAAAATGCAGAAATCAACAAAGTTCATTTTGAAAAACTATGCGGCATCTCAGATCATTGCGAGACTCGTTTAAGCAACACATGCCAGTTGCTAAGCCAAAAAACAAAATATTTTCCGAAGAGAGATACACACGTTATCCAAAACGCATTGTTTGCGTAAACGTGAACATTACTTTTTTCCCCCCTACAAACCATCATTACAGTATGTTCATGTGTCACTGAATGAGACAAGGTTCAGGAAGGGCATAAGTGCCAGCGAGATTATTTTTTTTTAAAAAATCTCTTCATTTCTCCGAAATAAAAAGTGTATTTTAAAATTGTAAAATGTTCACTAGTTTTAGTCTTAAATGTTTACTGGACTTAGTCTCAACCAACAACTGGTCTTCGTTGATGTTTGGTCAGCTTTTTATAAGCTACTGTAAAAATATGTGTACTGATTTTTATTATGTAAAGAATCACCTTATACCTTTTGAAATTGAAAATGAACTGAAGATCTTTTCAAAGGGGCTGAAGTTTAAGGTCAAGCACGATTTGGTTTTTAATTTCCAATATTTATATTATACCTAAAAGCTGAAATTAAACCTTGTGACCGCAAAGGGAATTTGGGGTTTAATGTCGTTTTTCAAAAAGTGGACCTGACTGCCTATAAAGCAAAATCTGGTTGAAACCCTTCACATTGTTTTCTTAACATTTACATTTGCTAACAAAGGGCTGAACAAATTATGCCCCCCTCCTCTATAACTTGTGAATGCCACTAATATTATAGTTAGTGTGCCTTGCTGTCATCAAGCTTTCATTATCAATTCTATATAATATAAAACCGTTATTTCCATATCCATGGAACGTTTTCGGAAACGTCAACAACTTTGAAAAAAAACCCAGTCCCGGACTGTGTCAATATTAAGCTTGGTTTTCCAGTTTGATTGACTAACTTGATTTATCATAAATATTTATAGTGTCAAGATATAATCTAAGCAAAGCTAAGTATGAATGCAAAACATACATTGTAAATAAACAAAAACATATCTTTATGTAGAAACAAAATATATATTTCCCATCTAAAATCTACCCGAAATGCTCATAATATGATCATCACCATAATATGAAGGGGAATTCATGGAAACAGCTCTGCCACAAATAAGTTGTATTGTGAAAGTCAAGGGGCTCTTTTAAACCGATCTCTTCAAAACCTTATTCAAGACTTTAAAAAAAAAAGAAAGATCTGAAATTTGCAGCAATATTTGTAAGCTAGCTCTTAATCCATTTTGATGATGTGACAGAAAACGCTAAAGAGTTGCTACTAATTTTGTCAAAAAAGGGTACTTCAGCTCTTACGCAAACCTTAATTATGGTAGCTAACAAGATTTCTTCTTTCTGAAACGTATTAAATATAGTACTGTGAGTGAACTGCTATCCCAAAACCACTAGTTACTATTTGGACAGCATCTCAGAAATCGTTGTTATAATTGCTGAGTGTTGAACTGGAAACAAATCAATGTTTTACGTGAATATAAAAAAACCCACCTTATGTTCTCTACATCAATATTACGTGTGCAACAAAATATAACAACAGGCATCGACTAATAAACCACCACATACACAATGCTCTACCATGACAGGCAGTCGGCATACACAATGCTGCCCTATGCAAGCAGGGTGGAAGGAAAACTGTCACTTCGAGGGAAAGTGAGAAAAACAACATGGATAAAGAATAACAGTTTCCTCGGAACGAAACGAACGGCTCAGAGCATATTCGTGCATGAGTACTTGCAATTGAGAACATTGACAAAGTACTGGTTCCCAAAATTATGTGCTAATATCATAACAAAGCAATGGTTTCAAAGACCACCTTTAAGATCATGGCGAAATAATTCGCGAAGCTCGGGGTCGGGTCAGGGTGGAAGAAAGGACTACAAGGTACTACAGCTGATAAAATAAAGAATAACACCGTTCCAACATTCCTTTACTTCAAATCATCATCAACATGGATAAAGAATAACAGTTTCCTCGGAACGAAACGAACGGCTCAGAGTATATTCGTGCATGGGTACTTGCAATTGAGAACACTGACAAAGTACTGATTCCCAAAATTATGTGCTAATATCATAACAAAGCAATGGTTTCAAAGACCGCATTTAATATCATGACAAAATAATTCGCGAAGCTCAGGGTCGGGTCAGGGTGGAGGAAAGGACTACAGGGTACTAAAGCTCATAAAATAAAGAGTAACACTGTTCCAATATTCCTTTACTTCAAATAAACAAATATCTGTTGTAGCATGTTATCGTCCCACACCAAGCTGTCTGCCTCTCCTCCGTCCTTGTGCAGGCCTGTACCAAAGATTAAAAGTTCTCAAAGTGGTGTATGAGGGACGGGCCTGTGTATGCGTTGATCTCTGTGCATGCTAGCTGGATATTCCTAGTCATGGCAGGAGGGCCACAGCTGAACACTCCAATCTGCGACACCTGTTGAGGTGTGAGTAAAATATTATTTCAGATCGGAGTTTTTGCGTTTTCACACACACACACACACACACACACACACACACACACACGATCAA